GGCTGCACCTAGGGATTGGGCCTGCCCTCTGCCACCCGGGAGCAGGCCTAAGCCAGCAGGTCGTTATCTCCTGAGGAATCCCAGACTGCAAGAGGGCACAGGCCGGTCTGAGGGACCCCCCTTTCTCCTGAGTGCACAAATTTTTGTGCACTGGCCTCTAGTAGATAATAAATGCCAGCTGTAATAGGTCTTAATAAATAATCTATATAATAAAAGCATAGGACTTGTATGCATGCATATAAGCCCAACCAATGGACACAGACACCAGGGGGGGTGAGGGCATGAGTGGGGGGGGGCGTGGAGGGCAATGGGGAGATAAAGACACATATGTAATACCTTAATCAATAAAGAAAAATTTTTCATTAAAAAAATAAATTTTAAAAAAGCCTAAGTAACACATACAGCAGAACAACTGGTCGCTATGATGTGCACTGACCACCAGGGGGCAGACGCTCAATGCAGGAGCTGCCCCCTGGAGGTCAGTGTGCTCCCACAGGGGGAGCACTGCTCAGTCAGAAGCTGGACTCATGGCTGGCAAGCGCAGTGGCAGTGGCAGGAGCCTCTCCCGCCTCTGCAGCAGCACTAAAGAGCAGCAAACAGGCGGGCGGTAAGGAGTGAGGGTCCCGGACTGCGAGAAGGTGCAGGCCGGGCTGAGCGACCCCCTGTCCAGTGCACAAATTTCGTGCACTGGGCCTCTAGTTCTTGAATAAATGTGTTTGATGCTTTTCTATTGACTTAATCTTTACAACAGCCATGTGAGGTAGAAACTATCATTAAATCTTTTTTTTAGAAAAGAAAACAGGCACTCCAAGAGGTTAGGCCACATGTTGAAGGGCGCAGCTATGATTTGAACCCCACAGGGAGGCTTTTTCCACCTCTCATTGGGGATGGGAGTGTGGGAGTGAAATAGTACACCACAGGCCAGCTTCCAGATTTTAGAAAATTGTGGGCTTCCTGGAGAGGAGTCATTGAGTCTGGGTTGGAAAGCTGGCATTTGACTTCGGTCTGCAAAGGCCCTAAGAGAGCATTCCAGGTGGAAGGAAGAGCAATGAACAAAAAAGTGTGGAGGCACGGAGATCCAGCTCTTGGAACTACCCAAGTGGAGGTGGGGTCAGCCAGGACACACGGCCAGCTGTGCCCTGGGTTGCAGTCTCAGGGTCCCTAGAGGCAGGACTCCCGTGGGCGGGAGACACTCTGCAGTCCCTCTCCCCAGGCTGTGGCTCAGAGCCCTCAGGGAGGTGAGCTGGGCGCTCCCACGCCCCTCTGGGCAGGACGTTCTCACGTTCCCCTGCCCCCACGTTCCCACGCAGGGGCGGCCTTGGGAAAGGCTTGGGGCGGGCCCAGGGGAGGGCGTCTGAGCTCGGGTCCCTCTGCAGCTCATTCTCCATTTCTCGCTCAGCAGACCTGGGTCTCTCCTGCAGCAGAGCTGGGAGGTAAGAGTGGGGGGAGCCCCGGCTTCAGGAGTGGGGAATGCGACTTAGACTCCCCCATGTGGTCCCTGCCATGGAAGAGGGGGAGGGGGTTCCTGGGGAATTATCCTTTGTTCGCATATGGGGTGCCATCTCTTTCCCCAAAAGCAGAGTACTCCTTCCCTTTCCCCATCGGTGGGGCTCTCCCACCCACTTAACACTGATGGGGAGCCCTTCCTTCCCAAATGGGGGCCCTCCCCCACTTACCACACATGGTATACTCCTTCATAATTATTGGGTGCCCCCTCCCCAGATGTGGGGGGCTCTTTCTCTTTTCAGAAATGAATGCCCCTTTACCCTCTCCAGATGTGCGTTCCTTTTCCTCTCTCTGACCCATTTTGGTCCTTGTCCTCCTCTCAAGTCCCTCCCCACCCGCATGGAATGTCAGTCCCTGAGACTCCCCCCCCCCCATGGGGGGTTGGGCTCATCCTGTCCCCCTCCTCCACTGGATCCAGCAGAGCAGGCTCTCCTGCACGTAGGCAGCCAATTAGGGAGGGAAGGGGGGGGCAGACTGTCTGGCAGAGATGGTGGCAGATGGCCTGCGGGAAGAGAGGCAGCCCCGCGACCTGCTTCCTCCTACCTGGACTCCCACCCCATCTCTTGGGGGGCAAACAACCCAGGATGGTTTCCCAACCTGGCCAGGCTGAGCTGGGGCAGGAAGTAGGACCCAGGCCCCCAGCCCCAAACTATTCAGACCCTGCCTTAAGAATTAGGCCTCCTCCCACTTCTCAGATGGGGAATTGAGGTCCCAGGAGGGAGCTCCAAATGTCTTGGACCCCTATTTACCCCCATGGGGATACAAGACAAAACTAGAAGGGCCAGGGCCTGAGGGAGACGTTGAAATACTAGAACACCCTCCCCCCCCACACACACACCTGTGAAAATGATTTCTCTGTCTAGGCCCTAAGGGTAGGGTCAGAGGGCAATGTGTGGGCTCATTCACATACACCCTCCAGATGTTCTTCAGAGCTGCCCGGAGGTTGGTGTTGAGGAAGCCAGGACTTGGAATTCGAGGGATACACAACCCAGGAGACACTGGTAAGACTTGGACATCCTCCTCCCTTGCCTAACTCCAAGGCAAGGGGCAGGAGTGCTGTCTGCAGGCTGCTCTGTCCCTTCCATGCTGGGTCTACCCAAAACCGCATCCCACAATCCCACTCCTGGGTCCAGGAAATGGAGCTCTTGCACCCCAAGCTTCCTCAGGGCCTGACCCCTAAACCTGAGGCCCCTGCGGCCTTTGTGTCCTGAGGTGGAGGTGCTGACAGAACCGGGGACCTCTTTGGCAGACCCGGTGTCAGTGCCGGTCAGAAGATGCCGAAAGCAGGAGAGACTGCAGCCAGCTGGCAGAGGGCCTTTCTGATTGATTGATTTACTTATTTATAAACAAATAACATTTATTGAGCCCTTACTATGTACCCCTAGCTGTGATAAACATTGTATACCGATGAACACATCTAGACTTCACAACAGCCACGTGAGGTGGAGGCTGTGCTGTCATCTCCATTTCTCAGATGAACAAACTGTGGCCCAGGGGCCTAGATATTCAAAGAGCCAGGACTCCTGCTCAGAGCAGTTCCAATGCCGTCCTGGTGGGCCTCTCTGATGACGGTGGGCCTCTCTGATGACGGTAAGTAGAAGCTTTGTTGAGACTCTCCGAGTGCCCGGCCTTTTTTCTGGACACTTGAGTGGAGCCCTCGAGGCCTTAGCCATGAGGGAGAGCATCCAGGAATGGCGGCCAGCAGCAAACCAGCCTCTCTGTTGATCAGTGTCGTTTACGGTGCACCTACTGTGTGCCAGGACGGTGAAGTGCAGGGAGGTAAAGGGGCTGGTTGGAGCTGGGCTGGGGAGGAACTGAGTGTCAAACCAAACTGACTCCAAAGCCGTGGCCCTGATCCCTATTAAAGGCATACAGAGCGTCGGTCTGAGGACTGAAGGGTCCCAGGTGTGATTCCGGTCAGGGGCACATGCCCGGGTTGCAGGCTCGGTCCCCAGGAGGGCTCCTGCAGGAGGCAGCTGATCAATGACTCCCTCTCATCATTGATGTTTCCATCTCTCTCTCCCTTCCTCTCTGAAATCAATAAAAATTGGTTATTAAATAAAGAAAGAAAGAGAGGATGTGGCTATTGTTTTGCAGTTTGCAGAGCACTTCACACCTGTCAGCTCAGGTGTCTCTCAGGAGCCCTTGCCCGACTTGCCCTCTTTACCGCGGATCCTCCCAGAGAACACAGGATTGGAAGCTGGGG